AATTTTGGGCTAAGCACAAGTAATGAGACATAATCTGTGGAGGAAGGGTCAATGTTAACATATAAAAACATTTAGATCCTGGAGAAGGGAAGCTCAGAGTCAGCATAAATGTGGAGGGAAGGCAACCATCAGTATGCAGTTAACACGGCAGCGGTTTCCAAGAGACATTGTTGTTGCTTGTAGGTCATGGTGTATATGTTTTCTCTGGAACTGTGACTGCTGTGTGCAAGTGTACGGTGCAGTGTTGAGCGGCGCTTGGCTCACACTGTAACACTGTAGAAAATTAACACAGTCTCTTTCTGTGTGTATCCGAAGCACAGTCTTTTTTCTGTGGTTTGCAGTAGCACAGTCCTTTCCTGTGGAATAATGTGTTGGCAGGTGGATAAAAGGAGTGAAGTCGGACACCGCTAGGCGTCAGTGTTACCGTCTGCAGGAAGCAGTAGTGGTGGGTCGTTCACCGGATGTGGAACCTTCTTGCAGTGGCTAGCGTGAATCCACGTCGCTCATTCAGCAACATTGATCGCTGTGTGAGTGGTGAGCAGCACTTGGAACAGCCCCCTGCCAATGTTTGGATTTCCAGTGTTTCCTCCTCAGCTCCTTGACAAGTATCCAGTCGCCAGGCTGCAGGTTATGCAGGGTGTCAGAGGCTGGTGATGGGAGGGCAGATTTCACCTGTTGAGATATTTGAGAGATTACAGCAGATAGATCTTTGCAATAATGCAACATGTCATCTTGACAGAGCGCAGTGGAGGGGAGGGGTCTGGAGGAAAAGTCCACTCCCAGAGAGGGTGGACGACCAAAGAGGATTTCAAAAGGACTCAGGTTAACTTTTGACCTTTTCCTCATTCGGAGGTAGGTTAAAACAATAGGCAGTGCTTGAACCCAGGATAGGCCTGTTTCCTCACAGCACTTAACGAATTTCAATTTCAGAGTCCCATTCTCTCTTTCCACTGCTCCTTCACTGGGTGGGTGATAGGCATAGTGTTTCCTGAGGTCAATGCCGAGAAACTCTCCAACCTGTTGAACAGCAGCATTGATAAAATGAGAACCGTTATCACTGCTGATTCTAGCCGGAATTCCCCACCGTGGAACAATCTCAGTTAACAATGCTTTAGCCACGGTTTGGCTGCTTGGGTGTTTAGCAGGGAAAGCTTCAACCCACTTTGAAAACATGTCAACCATCACAAGGCAGTATTTCTTACCACCAGCAGGTGTCAGTTCAATGAAATCCATCATCAAGTGGTCAAATGGTTTGTCAGGTGAGGGTGTACAGCCTGTGCAAGTTGTGGTGTTTTACCTGGATTGTTAGTGGGACAAATCATACATGACTGACAATGTTTCTGAGCATAAAATCCTTTTGTAAACCAGTGTTGGTTTATGATGTCCAACATTCCCCCTTTCGACACGTGATCGAGTCCGTGAGCAAGTTTGGCATAATGGGGAAAGAAATGTTTAGGTAGGCAGGGTTTGTTGTCAGGTCCTAACCAAATGTCATCTGAAAAAGTCGCACCACAGGTGCACCATTGCTGTTTCTCTGCAGAGGTGGCAAAAGACTGTAATGCAGTGAGAGAGTCAGGAACGGACACAGGAGAGGAAACAAACAGAGAGCTAGTGGGAGGATGGGAGAGAGCAGCCTTCTTGGCAGCAGCATCAGCACGGGAGTTTCCTTGAGAGATAGGGTCACAGTTGTGAGAGTGAGCCTGACATTTACATACAGCAACAGTTTTAGGCAGCAAAATGGCATCAAGCAACACTGCAACCTTGTCATGATGGAGAATGGGTTTTCCATCAGACTTGAGAAAGTGTCTGTGTTTCCACAGAGAGCCAAAGTCAAGAACAACACCAAAGGCATACCTGGAATCAGCATAAATAGTAACAGAGCGTCCTTCGGCCAGTTTACATGCCTCTGTCAGAGCAATCAACTCAGCTGCTTGTGCAGAGAAATGTGGAGGTAGGGCCGCAGAGACAAGAGTGGCATGAGGAGAGAACACAGCATAACCAGCACGGTTAACACTTTGTGTGTCTCTGTAGGCAGAGCCATCAACAAACAAAACAAAATCAGGGTTAGTTAGTGGTGTTTCCTGGAGATCTGGTCGGGGTGTACAGACCTGTTGAAGAATGGCAACACAGTTATGTGCCTCCCCATCAGTGGGTGTGGGAAGGAGGGTGGCAGGATTCAAAACAGTGCAACGTTTTACTTTGATGTTAGGCATATCCAGTAAAATGGTGTTGTAACGGAGCCAATGTGCTGTGGAGAGATGAGAGGGTTTTTGTTCAAGCAAAATCATGGAGCC